TTTTACCTTACACATGCACAAAATTAAAGAATAAAAAACTTCAATGGGTTTGCTGAACTATGAACCTTTTAGAATGAAACATAGAAGAAAATTTATGATATTTTGAAATAGGCAAAGATTTCTTAGATAAGACATCAAAAGCATGATTCCTTCAGAAATTGTAAATTGGGTTTTACCAAAATTTAAAAGTCTGGGTGTTTTAAAAGACACCATTAAGAAAATGAAAAGATAACTGATAGGCTTGGAAAAAATATTTGTAAATCACATCTGTCTTTCCATGCTGCCCAGAGAGGGTTCCATACGGTGCTGTTCTGGATTCCTATTGTAACTTAAAGGGAAACTGTCACAACGTCCAGAGCTCTTATGTCCAGCAAATAAAGGAGGAGGATATCCTCAAGTTCCTTGTAGCAGGAACCCACTTAGAGGACACCCACCTTGACTTCCAAATGGAACAGAACACCCATAAAAGGAAGAGTGGGTGGGGCACAATGGCTTAGCCTGTAATCCCAGCACTTTGGGAGGTCAAGGTGAGAGGATTGCCTGAGACTAGGGTTTGAGACCAGCCTGGGCAACTTGGTGAGACCTCCTCTCTACAATAAATCACAAAAACTAGCCAGGCGTGGTGGTGTGCATCTGTAGTTTCAGTTACTTTGAAGGCTGAGGTGGAAGGATTGCCTAAGCCCAGTAAGTCGAGGCTGTGGTTGCCGTGAGTGTGCCATTGTACTCCAGCTTGCACACCAAAAAAAAAAAAAAAAAAAAGTAATGGTGTCTACATCATAAATCTGAAGAAGAACTGGGAGAAGCTTCTGCTGGCAGCCCCTTGAAAACCCTGCTGATGTCAGTGTCTTATCCTCCAGGAACACTGGTCAGCGGGCTGTGCTGAATTTTGCTGCTGCCACTGGCGCCACTTCGATTGCTTGGTGGCTTTGCTTCTGGAACCTTCCCCAACCAGACCCAGGCAACCTTCGTGGGGGGGGGCATCTGCTGGTGATTACTGATTTCAGGGTTGACCACCAGCCTCTCACAGAGGCATCTTATGTTAACCTCCCCACCGTTGCTCTGTGTAACACGGACTCTCCTCTGTGCTATGTGGACATTGCCATCCTGTGCAACAAGGGAGCGCACTCAGTGGGTCAGATGTGGTAGATGCTGGCTTGGGAAGTTCTGTGCATGCGTGGCACCCTCTTCCGTGAACACCCGTGGGAGGTTATGTCTGATCTCTACTTCTACAGGGATCCCGAAGAGATTGAAAAGGAAGAGCGGGCTGCTGCTGAAAAACTGTGACTGAGGAGGAATTTCAGGGTGAGTGGATTGCACCTGAGTTCGCTGCAACTCAGCCTGAGGCTGCAGACTGGTCTGAAAGTGGTAGGTGCCGTCTTTGCTGTTCAGCGATTTCCTACAGAAGTGGTGCGCTCAGCCTGCCACGGAAGACTGGTCTGCAGCTCCCAGTGTTCAGGCCACTGAGTGGGTAGGAAAAACCATGAAGTGTTCTCAATCTGTTTTTCCACAGACTCATAAGCAACATGGAAATAAGCCTGATGGAAAAGAAACATCTGTTTCTAAAAAAAAAAAAAAAAAAAAATCACATATCTGGTACAATTCTTGTATCCAAAATATGCAAAGAACTCCTCTAACTCAATAAGAAAACAAACTACCTACTTTTAAAATGGGCAAAAATTTGAAGGATATTTTACCAAAAAAAGATATAAAGGGCTGATAAGCACACGCAGAGATACCCAGCATCATTATTCATTAGGGAAATGTAAATAAGACTGTGAGCTCGGCTGGGTGACTCAGTCTGTAATCCCGCGCCTTTGGGAGGCTGAGGTGAGTGGATTACCTGAGCCCGCGGGTTCGAGACCCGCCTGGGCAGCAAGACCTCATCTCTACAATAAATCAAAAAATCAGCCGGGCGTGGTAGCGCATGCCTGTAATTCCGGCTACTTGGAAGGCTGAGGCGGAAGGATCGTCGGAGCCCAGCAGGTCGAGGCTGCGGTGGCCAGGAGCGGCCACTGCACTCCAGTCTGGGCGACAGAGTGAGACTCCAACTCAAAAAAAAAAACAAAAAAAAAACACTGTGAGACATCACTAAACACCCACTAGAATGTCTATAATAATAATGATGAGAAACCCAGATAATAACAAGTGTTAGTGAGGACATGGAGAAATTAGGACATTTATACATGGCTGGTGGGAATGTAAGATGGCATGTCAACTTTTCGGCTTTGGAAAAGTTTGGCAGTATCTTAAAAAGCTAAACGTGGATTTATCATATAACCTAGCAAATCCCTTTGTTATCTACCCAAGAAAAATAAAAATGTATGTCCACATAAAGACTTCTCCACAAATGTTCATAGCATAATTTTTTGTGATAGTCAAAAAGTAGAAACAACCCAAACGTCCATTAATTGGTAAATGGGCTAACAAAATTTGGCATATTCATATAATATAGTACTATTCAATAATAAAAGGAATGAACTAGTAATACCTGCTACAACATAGATGAACCTGTTATATTACGCTAAGTGAGAGAAGCTAGTTGTAAAACACTACATGTGTAATTATATTTATATGAAATATCCAGAAAATGCGTAGTTATAAAGATCAAGAGCAAATTAACTGTTGCTTGGGGCTAGGGCTGGGACTGAAGATTGACTGCAAATGGGGATGATTGATATTTTTGGCATGTCAATCCAAAATGTAAATATCCCAGAATTGGATTTTGGTGATGGTTACACAACAACTGTATAAAAGTCATTGAATTGTTTACTTAAGATGATACCAGCCAGGCGTGGTGGCTCATGCCTGTAATCCTGGGACTTTGGAAGAAAGAGGCAGAAGGATTGCTTGAGCCAAGTAGTTTGAGGTCAGCTTAAGCAATGTAGTGAGACCTCATGTCTACAAAAAAAAAAAAAAAAAAGAGTTGGGTATGGTGGCACCTGCCTGTAGTCCTAGCTACTTGAGAGGCTGAGGTGGAACAATGCCTGAGTCCAGGAGGTTGAGGCTGCAGAGAGACTTGATTGTGCCACTGCACTGCAGCCTGGGTGACAGGCTGGGACCCTGATTTTTTAAAAAAAGGTGCATTTTGTTATGCACATTATACTTCAATGAAGCCTTCCAATGTGTATCTGCAGACTCTACTAGTGTTGGCTATCTTACCCAGAGCTCCTGGGAAGCTGCTTTTATTCTCTTTGTAAAGCAGTAAGCAAGAGAATTCCCTGAGGATTCAGAGGGCTCACCTGGAGTCCATCCAGGGCTTCTTTAGGCTTGGTAATTTATGGGCACAGTGGGACAGTACAGGTCTTGGATGTGAGCCAAACAGATGAAAACAGTGGCAGCAGTGTTGAGGTGGCTGAATTGTATGGTTTGCTAACCCATTTTTCTCACCTGGGCTTTCAGTCTTGAAGCTGTCCTGTTTTTTTTTTTTTGAGTTGGGATCTCTGTTAGGCAGGAGGGTAGTGGCATGAACACACCTCACGGCGGCCTCGACCTTCTGGGCACAGGCAATCCTTCCGCCTCAGCATCCCGAGTAGCTGAGACTACATGCCTGGCTAATTTTTTGATTTTTGTAGAGATGAGGTCTTACTATGTTGCCTAGGCTGGTCTCGAACTCCTGGCTCAAGCAATCCTCCTGCCTTGGCTTCCCCAAATGCTGGGATTACAGGCAAGCCACGGCGCCTGGCTGGTAAAGTCACTTTGAAAACCTCTGTGGTGCTACCCAAAGACAGTGTCTGCTCCTCAAGAGGCATGGGACTGTTTCTAGTCAGATTTCCTTTGTCCAGGTCTCCCTTTATCTTGGGTCTTCCAACCTCACAGCAGAGACTCCTCTTGAAATGGACAACCTGTAGGTATGGCTGCCAGTCTTATTCATTCTTCAAGCATTTTGAAGTTCTTGTCCTCTTGCATATCTTTCCTTATTATTATTATTATTATTTTTATTTCACCTTTACTTCATCTGGAAATATAGTCCTCCTAACTACGATTTGAGCTGTCAGAAGAGCATGGATTTGGAGTCAGTGATGTGATTTAAATTTCAACTCAACTCACTAATTATATGGCTTATGGGAAAGCTTCTTAGGTTCTCTGTGCCTTGCTTATGGAAATCTGTAGGTTGGAGACAATAATAGTCATCACAAAGAGTTATTGTGAAGATAAAACAAGGTCATATATGGAAAGCTTGAACACAAGTGACTGATACATAGTCTGTGTTCCTTAATTGTTGGAACCGGAGAATAGATTGGGTTAGATCTGGATCTGGGTTCGAATTCATGCTTTTCCACTTCTAGCCAAGTGACCTGGTGCAACTTCCCTAGTTTTCTGTGCCTTTGTTTCTGCATCTGTAAAACAAGCATTATGGTAGTTGCTTATTAGGGCTGTCGGAAGATTAAATTAATTAGAACACTGACCATTTTATAATAAGTTTTATACAAGTGGCAGCTGCTGGTCTCTCACCAGCCAATCCAATGCTTGCATTCCCTTAGTGCAGCATGTTTGATTTATGCAGACGGGACGTGAGGATTATAGGGACACAATGACTGTCACCCCGCATAATACCAGGTAGACCTGGTTGGTTTGGGTGGTGACCCACCAGCAGCGCCTTGGGAATCCCCGATCTCCCTATATCACATGCATCTTCCCACTCACCCCATGCTGATTCAGAGAGGGCACCTTACTCACAAAAGAAGGTATTCCCGGGTCAGGATTAGTCAGTGGTTGAACTCTGCAGGAACAGATTCCCTGGATCCTTCCATGACCAAGGACCCTCTAAAATCCTTGCATGCCGCATTATGGGGTGTGATAAGAACTCCTGTAAATGTGTCTCTTCCATACAGTAGCCTACAAATACCATCAAGTTGAAACATCAAGCTCTTGGATGAGGCGATAGCAGAGCTCTATCCTTCTCTTGTCTCAAAGAGCACCTCATTGGAGACTGGCGTGTGACTTTGGGGCCCTTTTATCACGTGCTTCATGATCAACGACCTCTTGTGCTTTGATTTCAGCTGATTATTTACCTTGGAACCAACCGAGACGAGAACCACTTCGTCCACCGCACAATTACCGGCCGACATCAACCAAGTTTGACAGTAGAACCACACACCAGGATGACTTCCCCATAAAGGGCCCCGTGAACACCATGAGCTGTAAACCTCTGGCCATGCCAAAGCTCTGTAACATCCCTTTGGAGGATCTGACTAACTATAAGATGAGCTACGTGGCCCACCCCGTGGAGAAGCGCTTTGTGCACGAGGCAGAGAAGTTCAGGCCCTCTGAAGTCCCCTTTGAGAGCCTCACCACTCACAAACAATCCTACCGGGGCCTGATGGGGGAGCCTGCCAAGAGCTTGAAACCTCTGGCCAGGCCCCCTTGCCTAGACGTGCCTTTCTCCAATGTGACTGAGTTTCGAGATAAGTACCAAGCCTGGCCAACGCCTCAGATGTTCTCCAAAGCTCCCATCACCTATATCCCTCCAGAAGAGAAGATGGATCTTCTGACAACAGCACAGGCTCATTACACATACCCTAAGGGTGCCCCAGCTCAGTCCTGCCGACCAGTGCTCCCGATTAAGAAGAGCGGTCGCTTTGAAGGCTCCACCACCACCAAGGATGACTACAAGCCGTGGTCCAGCATGCGCACGGAGCCAGTCAAGCCCACCCCCCACCTGAACCTCCCCACCGAACCCTTGGACTGCCTGACCACCGCTCGAGCTCACTACGTGCCCCACCCACCCACCAATACCAAAAGCTGCAAGCCCCCCTTGCCCGGCCCTCGAGAAAATGTCCCCGTGGAGGGCCAGACCACCTACACCGTCAGCTTTACTCCCAAGGAAATGGGCAGGTGCCCAGCTTCATACCCAGAGCCCCCCGGCTACATCTTTCAGGAAGTGGATGCTTTTGGACATCGGATGTATAGGCCGGTTTCCCAGGCAGGCTCTCGGCTGAGCAGCCGTCTTTCTGCGGGAGATTTGGAAAACCCCCACCGGAGGGAGTTGGCAGTGTTGGCCTGATTTTAAAAAACGATTATTTGGAAATTGCACAATACTTTTAGAAGCAGATGATTGAGAATTATTTGTTGGACAGAAAAGAGAATTCCCCAAGATGAAAAAATAATCTTCATCACCATTTCCAGGACCCTTGAATAAAACGTGAATCACTTGACTCAAGGAAAATGACATTTAATAACTGGCAAATTAGCTCCCCTTAACCCTCCCTCTACTGTCTTGCCACCCCCTACCCCTTGGTTTCTTACTTTCTGCTCAAGGAATCAAAGCTGGTCTCTATGAGGTTTTTCTCGGATCCAGATGTATTTTATTAACTTAAACATTGTACAAAATGACGTAATGATTAACCCTTGCCAAGGATGAAATAAAAGAATAAATCGCATTTTGGGGGGGATTGAAACTATAGGTCAGTGTGCTTACCACCAGGCGCTATCTGTGCAGAGAGTAGTCTGTGTTGCTTGGAACCTTTGGGGAGATTGTGCACTCAAGTCCCCATTGTATCCCAGTACTGGTGGGGGGTGCCTTGGGCCTGGTCTGGGGTCTTGTTTTTGGTTCTCTGTGCCCAGGGATTTACAGAGTATCTTTTTGACCTCTTCACTGCATGTCACACCAGCGAGAATGGCACTTTTTGATGGGGTGTGGCTCTCTTTAGTTTCAGGGAATGGAAGGGAAGGAGGAGGTGCTATGTCAATCCCAGGGGTGCATGGGGCCTACCTGACCTCTTCCCACCCCCAAACCAGTGCAGGCTCTGATTCTAGGGAGAAAGGAGGGAGAAAAGGCACTTTTGGCAAGCGAGTAGTTGGCAGCTGGGCCCTGAGCTGTGGGCAGAAGCTGCTGGCTCTTCTAAACGCTCAGAGTCTGGAAAAAATTGCCCCAGGCTGGGCTGGTTTCTGGGAAGCCGGGGCCTGCTTGCCCTAAAACGACAGCTGTGACCAGATCTGTGACAAAGCTTGACACAGTGGTGAGCCAGGTTCTGCCCTGGAGTTTTCTCTCTTGGGCCTAAGGTTTTACCAAGTTTGATTCTAAGGCCAAGTAATTTGAAGACTAAAAAAAAAAAAAATTGGGCAGAATTGAGAAAGTACTGTTTTTAAGAGGACCCTAGAAAGCCAAGTAATTTGAAGATTTTTTTTCTTACTTGGGCAGAATTGAAGAAAGACTTTGTGCTGGAGTCAGGTGGGCTCATGGGTCTGGGTAAGCCTCACACAGAGGGACGCAGACTGATGCCTGGGACTTCACCTTTTTTTTGAGTCTGCAGAATCCTAAAATATACTCCATGGTCTCAGAGAACTTGGGAGCAGTGTAGAGAAGGTGAGGAGATTTGAGCTCCAGTCTGAGAGACTCAGGCCTAGGTTCAAGGCTTGGTTCATGGATGGGGAGCCTGTATTTTATCTAGGACTCGATGTTTCCATGGCTCTTACCTACCTGACCCAGGCTTGCATCCTCACCATGAGTTTAGTTGCATTGGGGTCTACATTATTTAATCCTCTCATTGGTTCTATAGGATGTAGATGCCTGCCATTATGGAGTAGAGGGGCTCAGAGTGTTTAAACACCTTGCCCAAGGTCACACAGCTCAGGGCAGCAGAGCCAAGGTGGGAATTCAGGTCTTTTGCAACACCAGGAACCTCCTATCTTCTGTCTCAAGTCTCCTGGCTCCATGAACCATGTCAAACCACATTTTGTCTGAGCTTACTGGAGTCCATGAAGCAAAAGAGCACTAAGAAGGGCAGGTTTGACTGTTTTTGTTTCATTTTGTTTTACAAGTCAAAAGAATATTGGCATATGATTTGAAAAATGATGCTAAAATGCTTATAAATATCCAGTAACCTCTTATGTCTCAGCCCCTTGGCCCTCTCCCATCGTTACTTCCTCAGGAAGGACAATTTTAAATGATCTGTTTCTCCTGATACTTTTCTTCGCATTCCTAAATAATAGTAGTATCTTGCTACCTGCAGATTCAATGTTTTTAGACATGGTCTGTTTTGGTGGGTTAGGATTTTTGGTTCTCATACACTCCCCCTTTCTCCCTCCCTTCTTTTGAATATAGTTATCTGACAGTGCTTGGTAACAACATCAAGGCTAATCAGCTTTTCTGTTTTTAATTGCTAGGAAGGGAAAGAGAGGACTGACCTGGTTGATTGAAGAGTACAGAGCCCCAGTCGGTTGAAGAATTTCCTCTGAGCTCTAACTTCGTGATGACCTGCTGCTGGCAGTCTTCATGGTGACTCCAGGTAGATGGAGGTACCCTGGTCCAGGTACCCTGGGACATCCTGGTCTTGCCTGCTTCTCTTGGACTTAAGGAACCAGCCCTCCCCTACTATCTATTATTATTATTTTTTGCTCCCAAAGCAAAATTTCCTTAATATTATGAAAGTGATTCATACAGGTAAAAAAATTCAAAAAGATACCAAAAACACAGAAAAAATATAAAGCACCTGTCATGCTGTCTAGTGGAACATGGTGGCAAAGAGGGTGCGTGGCCTTTGGAGTCCAGATCTGGCCTTGAATCTTGGCCCTTTGCCACCCACAAGCCATGAGGTCTTGTTCAAATCTTTTAACATGTACAGTTGTAGATGTTAGCAATACTGACCTCATGGTTTTGCTGTTTGGACTGAATGACAGAATATACGTCAGTCACTTAGCCCTGGCTCACAGTTAATTCTCTTACATGTAGGTGAGGATGAGGAGAGGACAATTGCTGAGTTCTGATTGGCTGAATCTACCTATGATTTTGTTGGTTGGTGTTTACAAGTATGCAGGTATTTTGCAAAGTGAAATATACACTTTCCCCCCATCTAGTTCGATGATGCTTCAGCGGTTTTGAGTTGGAGTTGCTAACTGGTCTCCCTGGAAATCTGGCTTGAGAAAGTAACCGGGTCATAAGGAAGGAAGAAGAACTGAGCAGATGAGGCATGGTTCCCTCCCCAGCTCTAATCAGAGCAGCTTCTTATTAACCAGGTCTGTGCATTGGACTTCCATATCAAGTTTGCTGAAGAAGTCTCTGCTATTAAAGCACATGTATGCATTGCATATGTGCGATAACACCTGATGTCACCCTGTTCAATGAATCCCACCAGTGGGAACCTTCAAACAGGTTATCGTCTCTCAAAAATAGGCCATTACTTATATTTTATTTTGTATATTTTTCACTTGTGAGAATGAAGTGGGACCTTAATCACCTACTGCAGCCTAGAGTTCCTGAAATTTTAGCACATTAAAAGATAAAAATTATTATAAATCAAAGTTAGAACACAAAGGAAAAAAAAGTCTTACGGCCATGCTGGAAACCTGCTTTATCGCAGAATCTAGTGGCTGTTTTTGACAAGGATCTGGAGAGGAAGATGAGGATAGATCTCTCTTACAGCTGAAAGATGGCCAACTCTCTATTTCGGCTGTGGAAAGTAGAGTCTCAGAGTGAGCTGATTGGCTGGAGATAGTGGGCTTTTTCAGTGTGGACACCCTGGGCTGGTTGGAAGTGATCTGTCAGATAGGGTATCTGTCCAGGAGGATCTGCTGGGTGTGAGTTCCTCTTGGGGTGGTTGTCTGCCCACCTTGAGGATCTGCTGGGCGTGAGGTCCTCTTGGGGTGGGCCATGAGCAGGTCTGCTGATGTGTCGACAGGCTGGGTGGCCAGGGCAGGGCTTCTGCCCTGGTTCATGTTACACCGGGACCACCTCCATAGCTGAAGATCCTGGTACTTTGTCCTCATTTTTAGGGGATCAGGGATTTGCTCTCCACCCCTCTCTCTGTTAAGATGTGAATATAGCATCAAATCAGCTTTATGGACTCTTCATTCGACTGCTTGTTGCATTTTCTTAAGAGTTGATATCTTTAAAGATGGCCCCCTTTTTGGCCTGGTTTCAAGCTCTTGTTCCAAGAGGTGGTTGGAGGATTGGGAAGGAAGGGTCTATTGTTAGTGATGCCCCTTTTGTTGCACCGTTTCCCACCCTGCCCCCTGTGGCCCCTGGCATTTCGAATCCTGAGCCCCACTGAGTGCAGCCACGCAGACTTGCCCCCGGCAGCTCGGGCTCTCTCTCAGTGTATTCATTTGAGGTTGTGGCTTCCTTTTCCACACTTGTTGGTCATCACGCCACCATCCACCTCCTGTGTTCTTCAGTTTTCTTGAAATCTTTTGAGGCCCTCCTCTCATTCCCTTCGCTGTGGCATTTTGCAGTTTCATTATTCCGTTACTAGAGTTTAGCATTGCGTGAATGAGGGACTGGGAAGGAGTAAGCACAGGGGGCCGCCCGTCCCTGGACTGGGCTTAGAGCCAGCTGCAGGGGATGACAGGCTCACGGGGGCTGCAGCAGCATCTTAACGGCAGAGCATACCTGGGTGGAGGGTGACTTTGTCCCTGGCTGTGCAGAAAGGCCAACCTGGACTGGAATAAGCACCAGGCCAACTGGTGTGTGCAGGTGAAGGGAGCCCTGGCACAGGTCACTAACCTCTGAACCCCTGGTCTCCATCCTTTACCCCACCTGTCCTCCTCCTCACCTTCTCAGTTATCACCAGAGGATCAGAGGCAGCTGAACACACTCCAAAACTGGATCTGGTGTCAGGGGCAGCGGTTCTGGCCAGGGCCTGTGCTGTGGGTAGCTGAGGGGGCAAGCATTCCCAGCTCCGTCTTACGGTTTCTTTTTGTGAGGTGACCTCTAACTCCCTTCATTATGGCCTCACTGCCCTAAAGTTGAAATAATGTAGACAGTGAGAATAAACGCCTCCCCTCTCATCTTCTGCTTTTAAACCAGGGATAGAGCTCACCGCCCAGGGCATGGGATCTGCCCAAAAATCTTCCCAAAGTGACTCATCCTGAGACTGAACTGAGAGATCCATTTCCTCTAAAAGTGCTTCTCAGCCTCACAGTTGTCAAGAGGAAGCAGGAGGGTCAGGTAGGGGTGTGCATGGTCCTACTTGTAGATTAATGGCTCCCTGGCTCCTCAAGCCTGCCCGGCCGGCCATCACCTAGGCCCACATCTGCTCGGCAGGCCTCGGTGCGGGAAGACGGAGGCCCTTCTGAGCATCAATGGTGGGGCAGGCAGGGGTGTTTTCTTTGGCAGGGCAGGCTCAGACTTGCACATGGCTGTCTGAGCAGGTGCTCTCGCCACTTTGGGGGTGTAACGGGAGCCCAGCCCTGTGAACCTTCCAGAGACTATGTGCTTTTCAGAGTCTGGAAAAAGCATCAGGGCAATGCTAGGCTGGGCTCCTCTTTAAGCTGCAGGTGCCCTGTTTTTGCTTCTGGATCCTCGATACTGAGAGGAGAAATCCCCATGGTACATTTTCTTTGTCAAGCCTCTAAGCGTGGCTGCAAACCCAGCTTGATGCTAACCAAAAGGACACAGGAGTTTCCACTCCTGCGATTCAGTCTAACCCAAACTTTTTATGGGCCTTACTGCC